CTTGTGAACTTGGCTCCTGGGGGGGGGGGGGGGAAGTCTCCGCTTCCACCTGTTTTTTTCCTCCTTCCTGAGGAAACGCCGGAGGTGTGAAGGGTTTGACCCCAGCCTCGATGGGTTGCCGGCAGCTCCAGCCTGTGGTTGTCCCCGGGGCAGGGGGTTTCTCCCCCTGCTGTCCCTCCCAGGGCATGTCTCAGGGTGCTGCGCGGGGCCAAGCGCCGAGGGATCCCAGAGCATCCCTCCCTCCCTGGTGCTGAGTCACTTGGTGCCGGCAGTACCCAGGCTGCAGCAGCAGCGCGGGGCTGGCGGGCGGCTCCTGCTCCAGCACCCACGCGGCAGATGGCAAGCCTCTCGCCTTGTGATTTTATTTTTTTTTTTTTTTTAATTTTTGGCTGTTATTTCAGTCCGCAGCCCCCTTTCCCTCCCTTCCCCCGGCCATGTCCCCTTGCAACCTCCTCCCGGGAGGAGAGGAGAGGACGGCTGTGGTGAGCACCAGGTTTTTGCATGAGGGAGCAGAGTTTTCGGTGCCTCCCTGCAGCCTTTGGTGGCTTCCCTGTGGGACGTGGAAAGCCGGCAGTGTCCTATGTGGGACAGCACTGGCTGGTGCACTGGGGGTCCGGCCAGCCCTGGAGCTTCCCACGGCCCTGACACCGCGGCAGGCTGAGGTGGATGATGCTGATGTCCCCCAGCTGAGGTCTACACGCTCCTTTGCACATCAGACGGTGGCCCTGGTCACGGGGACGTCCTGGGGTGCCCCAGTGAGGGGACGGGTCTCGGGACCGCCGGTGAAGAGGTCCGGCACTGAGCACCACCCTGAAGGGCCATCAGCGGCACGAGTTTGCCAGGTCTCAGCCAGGTTCCCAGCCTGCAAGGGACTGGTGCCACCAAACTGACGTTACAGCTGGATGGATGTCCCTCCTCGGGGCCTGGTCTGTCCTTCACAGGGTCCCCGAGATCCCATCGCCACAGACAGGACCGATGCCCCTCATGCCGACAGCACCTAATGAGGTCCCGAATGTGGGTCACGGCTGCGAGCAGCAACCTGATGCACAACACGCCCCCGCCCCCAGCTGCCTGCCGGTGGGCGATCAGCGCTAATGAAGAGCGCGGTGACGAGGCTCTTCGCCGCTCCTGGGGAGATCCGAATTCTCTTCCACTCCCTTTGCCACAGCCGTGCACAGCCGAGCTGCAGGAGAAGCCTCTCCGCGGTGTTACGAGTTCAGCAGCTCAGCTGCGCCGGGGAAAGAAAAAGAAAGAAAAAAAAAAAACCCCAGCGCAAGCAAGACAGGCTATAAATAAAAGCTGGAGAAGTGGGAGGCAGCAGCCACAAGGGCTTTCTGAAGCAGCAAGAAAAGCAGGTGCACGTTGGCTCCGGCACTCGATGCCTTTGTGTTTCCCGAAGAAGAAGCCCGGGTATCCCTAATAGCCGGGCTCCGGGTGGGAGCACTGCGTCGATGGGGAGCGGGGCCGGGCTTCCCTCCCGCGAGCTGGGAAGGCACAGATGTCTGAAGAGCAAATATTGTGCGGAAGGGACGGGAGCGTCGCCGAGCTTGGGAAGAGGAGGGAGCCGAGGAAGAGGGAGGAAGGGAGGGAATGGAAGGCTGCGAGGGGGCTGCCGACATCAACGCAGCCCCAGCGGCTTCAGGGTTAATTCGAGAGGGGGGAATCCTCCAGCCAAAATTTGCTACCGGAGTTAATGGTGGAGGGAAGGAACTGCCGGAGCTCAACGCCTCTCAGCCTCGGGTGCATTCAAGCCAGGATCCCCCCCCAAAAGTGCCCCGGCAAGCATCCAGCCGTGCAGGAGCGGCGGAGGGAGGCGAAATGCCTTCCACCCCCTCGGGGTCAGCTGGAGCTGCCGGGGATGGGGACCCCGCGCTCCACCGGAGCCTGCTAGCGCGCAACGAGGGGAGGGAAGAGAGGAAGAGAAGGAGACAGATGGGCAGCGATGGAAACATAAGTTAACTCGAAGGAAGCGGATAAACAGCAGGCAGGGAGCAGATCCCAGCACATATGCTGCGCCACAGCCAGCCAGGCACGGGGAGGTTCCTCGCCGTCCCCGCTCTCCGGCCCTGCGGAGGGAACCGAGCCATGCGGGAAGGTCGGCGGTGGGAGGGGGTGAAGGCTAGAGGCATGGGGGGCAAACCCCGGGGGGGGGTTTGAAGCCAGGGCTTGCAGCAGAGAAGCGGGAGCGCAACCCGGGGCGGCCGGGACAAGAAGCTTGGGTGCAGCTCACGGCCACGGGGCGTTGGGGAAGCCGAAAGCAAAAGCCAGACAAACGCACAGAAGAAACATCCGTGAGACGGACACGACTCCCAGCTTGGGAATCACAGACCAATTCCCTGCGGTGGCTGGACTGGGACCAGGCGAGGTCTCCTGCCTCGGTTTCCCCAGCCGGGAGAGGGGAGCGGAGCGGCATCAACTGGTGTGAAGGGGCTGGCAGTGCCCCGGCCGCACGGACCGAACGCCGTTCCCGGTGCTGGTGCAGCGGCAGCTGCGGGTCGCTGCTGAGGACTCGAGCAGCTGATGGGAAAGGGAATAAAGTCAAGCGGAAGGCGAAGCAGGGAGGCTGAGACCCTCAAAAGTCCTTGAGCCATGCAGCACAGCGCTGCCTGCCGATTACCGGCTACCCCAGCGCCAACACAGCATCGTGGCCTGCTCCAGCCACGCCGCTGCGGCAGGAGGGGGACCCTGGCCACCCCCGCGTTGCCCCCAGCACCCACAGCGGTGCGGTGGGGGTGCCCGCTGAGGGGATTCTCCTCCTGCCGCAGCCCCCTACTCGCCCAGAATAACAAGCAGGCAGAGGCGCAGAGCTACCAAGAGCATCTCTCCGGCGACGTTCGGCTGGGTGCTAATGAGCCCCAGGCCCTCCGATCTGCTTGGCAAATGTCAGGACCCAGATCGATTGCTCAAAAAGATACCCAAAGGCTGCTGATAAAAGAAAAAAAGGAGAAAAAAAACCACAAAACAAACCAAAGAAACCAAACCCAACCCACAACAAGCCCCCCACAGTAGCCAGCACATCCCCCCTTGCATCCCAGCGCCGGCAGCCCGGAAAGCCCTGCCCGTTGCAGGAATGCGAGTCGGGGCGATGGGCCAGCGAGCGCGATGGGCACACACAGCCGCCCTTGTTCCCCGCTCCCCGGCGGAGGGTCAGAGCTGCCGGCCGTCCTCGCCGCACAAGGGGAAGCCTGTTTGGAGGCACCCGTGCTCCCCGGAGGGATGCTAACGCCTTCCCAGCGGTTGCCAGCACGACGGGATGCCGCTGCGGGACCCCCACGGCCCTGCGCAGCCCCCTGCCTCTCACTGCTGGGGGGGCTGCACCTTTCAGGGGCCGCAATATCCCCTTGCAGAGGAAACCAGGGCATCAGGGGCCAGAGTGCTTTAAGGGACACGGGTGCTTCGCCGAGAGCTTTTTCAACGTCACCCAGAGTCCTTGCTGGCACGGGGCGTTGCAAGCAGTTGGCCTTTGCGTCTCCGTCTGAGACCTTCCTCCCGAGAGCAGCCTTTCTCCTCCGAGCCTGCAGACATAAGCATCCTCCAAGCCTTTGGCTCCCAGGCCCTCCAGCAGCGTACGGCTGGCCCTCAGGCACCCTTGGAACTGTCACTCAGCCGCTCGCTACCTTCACGCCGATTCACCGTCACCCACACGGCTCCCGGCGCTCTGTTCACAGCATCCTCCCGCTTGCCATCTCCTTCGCCGGCCACTTGTCTTTGCACGCCCAGCGGTGTCCCACCGGGTCCCCCCAGTACCGCATCGGTGCTGGGATTGGGGAATATCCACCAGGGAGGGGTGCACCCAAGGGATGCTCGCGGCAGGACGGGCTCCCCGCAGCTGCTAGCTCAACCACGCACCGTGGTTACAGCATCCCTACACTGACAACCCCGGCTGCTGGGGCCAATAATCCATTTACCATGTGAAAATACCTCCCTGTGCGGAAGGCAGGTCCTGATCGTCCCATGGACATGGCGGCCCCTGCCCCTCCACAGCCCCGAGGAAGAGGAGGGGGCTGGAGGGTCTCCCTGCCCCACCAGCCAAAAAGGCAGGAAGAAAAGGAGAAAAGGGAGTGAAAGCAGATGGGAGATGACCGCTCACCTGGCTGCTGCTCTCCGGTCTCCAGGACTCCTGATCTAGTTATTAGCCGGGGAGGTAAAGCACAAAGCAGAGAGGGATGGGGTAAGAGCCCAGGCCCAGAGATGGAGAAATAAACAGGTGATGGACAAGTTAACCCAGGGCCAGCGAGCTTCCAAATCGGTCCACGAGACGGACCCCGGCTCTGAGCCGCCGCAGCTCATCCTGCCGTCGGTTACGCCGAGCCGGCGAAGAGCCGCGGCGACATTTCAAGAGCCGGGAGAAAACACCTTCTGACAAGAGACTTAAACTGCTGCACCCACGCAGCCGAGCAGAGATATGGGGGCTGCGATACCGCTGGGAGCAGCGTTGCCCGCTGCAGGCACCTCAGTCTGCCGGGGAAAGGCAGCGCAAGGAGCAATGGCTGGGAGAGAAAACCAGGCAAGCACAAATTAGAATTAATAAGGCACAAATTGTTAGCGGCGAGAGGGATTAACGCTGGGAAGAAGAGGCTGCCAAGGGGCACGGGGAAGAGAGAGGCGCGTCCTCGGGTTTCCGCTCAGCTTGGAGCTGCATCTCCCGTCTCGGCAACAAAATGGGAGCCAGCCCT